CCATTAGCTCCTCCTCTTCGGGTACCCTAGTATTGGTCCTGACACTATGTAAATGTTTTCCCTCTATAAAAAATTGTTTGGGTACTCAAATTTCTTTTCCAACGGAAATATCTGAGCATGCTTGGACATACATGTCTTGGCGGTGGCGGATTTGAAGTGGCAAAATTATTCGGATATAACACACGAAAGCATCACGGAACCGCGCCATCCTATCTTTGCAACACCGTAGCCATCGCGGAATGCCGAACCCGGCGCCATCCTGCGCGCCATTGTAGCTCCCACAGTGAAGAGGGCCTCCAGCCAGAGGCCTCCTCCTTGCCTCCCTTCTTCTCGGCACCCCAGCCCACGTGGCCGTGCAGCGCCTCTGAGGCGTCGCCGCCGCCCGACAATGACCGTGCACAGCCCTGCCCAGCGAGGGAGCCGTGCACTGGCCACATGGTGGCGGTTCCATGACCGACCATGCACGCAAGGGGCTGCGCCCGGCGTCGGCGGCCGCGCCTGGCCAGATCCACGCGGCGGAGAAGAAGCACCGGGAGACAGTGCCACGAGAGATAGGCCCGATAATTGCCGTATTTTTATTCAGAGGTGAGGAGGTCTGTATTCTTTTACACTGGTTTTGATCCAATCGGGAGGTAAAATTATTATAGTCACCGGTGATCCAAACAACTAATTTTGAGTTGGGTTGAAAAAAATTACAGACCTGTAATTTACAAGTGTTTTAGGCTAAAAGCCAGGCTACCAAACAGGGCCTAAGTGTTTGACATGGTCCAATCCCTGAAGATCCTAACACAAGTAGACTTAATAAAATATAGTATCCATCCTACACATGTCATTGTGAGGGTCCCGTGAAAGTCCAAGGAAGAGGTAAATTGTGTGCCTAATTTCAAACCTTAAATGTAGAGCTTAATGAAAACTACAGCCGAAAAAACATAAACTAAGTCTAACATGATGAGTACTTAAAAATCCTTTTAGATGCTCAAACTTACCTGCAACCTAAAAGAGTTTTGATCTAGAGCCATCGTATCAACTAGCTTATAGCTTATTTAGGAAGATAAAGGCCACACAAGCAAAGCACAGGTGGAAGCAATAAATGTGATAAGTAAAGAGCTAGAGTTAGAGACGGCAAACTCTCGGAGACATGATGATTTATCCCGTGATATCAGTTGCCAAAGTACAACCCCTAGTCCCGTAGTACCTTCTAGTCATGGCGTTGGTCTGCCACTATATAAGGCTGCCACCAAACAACTAAAGACAAGTGTCATGAGTCCTTGAATCTCACACCGCCACCCGACTCTACATGTCACATTGATGTTGTGTCCACTATGGAGTTTCTCCACGAAGAAAAAAGGGTCTCCTTGTAACCCGTACACCAAGATATGTCACTACTCTGCACGAAGATCGGAGGGTTGATGCCTAGAAGGCCACCAAGACCCACATCGGAAGGTCATGGATACATCAAGCTCTCTGGTTCACCAAGATAAAAAGGCACAATAGCCCTAACTCACAAAGCTCCCAAACTTAAGGTCTAACACTCTTAGGGATGAACTATCGTATCTATCCTAGCTTCATATAAGATATTGATGCACTTGAGAAGATGGATGTAGTGTAGACACACTTGCCCTAGCTTCTAGCAGCATCAAGGTACTCCAACAACATTAGACAAGTTGTGCAAAGTTTATATATATATACATATATATATATATACACACATTAGACAAGCTATGTCCCCCTCAAATAGTTGTTGGCTAAAGTTTGCCAAAAAGAAAAACTAGTGGAACGGTCCACACCTCGCAGAAATGACCTAGCCGAACAGTCCTGTCAAAACTAGCCATTGAGATTTCAACCCGCTGGATGGTTTGGTGCATATATTTTTTTCTTCTGCTCGGCCATCCGATGCATGCAACGCACAGTGGACTCACCTATGAGTATCACCGGATGATCTATTGCACTATCCTTTATTTGCACACGCTCGTCTATCATATGTTAAGTGAAGAATATTCTCCTTAAAACCTTGTTCGGTTCTTCTCCAGACAAGGGGATTGGAGAGGAGTGGAGGGGATTAAGGGGGATTTTGACTTATAGGGGATTAAATCCCCCTCAACCCCTCCAACCCCCTTGGTTTCGGGATGAAACGGACAAGACCTAAGGTGTGTTCCTATTAGTTTGTCTAGCGCAGTCTTTGACCATCTGGTGCTTGAGCTAATTCTCCCTAGAACCTATTAGATAGATCATATCTAACATATTTTTAACATACATGTTTTGAAAGAAAGACTGTGGAGCTAAATTCACCCATGACTGTACAAATTGACAGGGCGTCTGTTTGGTGAAAACTTAAACTGCATCTCTTCCGATTAATGTCTCTTAATGCTTTAACATCTCTTAGAAACAGATAGCCCATGCACAACACTAATGACCCCCCATACTGCGTCTGCACACACGTCACATGACACATGACCTCACAGCGTGAACTCTAGTAGCTCTCAATGCCAGGCCTTGTTTAGTTGCCTTCAAAGTTTCAAAGTTTTTTCACTCTCTCTTCATCACATCAATTTTTGGACGTTTGTATGGAGCATTAAATGTAGGTAAAAAAAATAACTAATTACACAGTTTAGTTGGAAATCATGAGATGAATCTTTTGAGCCTAGTTGGTCCACGATTGAACAAAGTTTGCCAAATAAGACGAAAGTGGTACTATTCATCGGGTTGAAATTTTTCTCAATCTAAACAAGGCCCCGATCTAAAAAAAAATGCCAAGATGGCTCATGTTGACGGCCAAACGACCAGACAAATTAGCTCGCGTTGCCACAGTGGCACAGTGCAATGATGGAGCAGCTTTTCCGCTGAAAAACGAATCTCTTTCTCCCCGTAATTTCCATGGTATCATTTTTGCTGATACATCACTTTATTAAATAGAAATGACTTGTAATCCGTCCAAAAGTCCAACTGCCAGTTACCACTGAGCATTGAAGTCTTAACAAAACTGCTCCTGCTTGCTGCCGTGTGATCATCTCTTCTCTGACATTTTCCCGTCTCGTAGCATCCAAATATTAATATACATGCACTGTGGAGCATCACAGAAACTCAAACTCAGAGAAGAGAGATCATACATATCCATACATATCCTTCCTATGCAACTCGTCACTTGTCACATGTTATGAGCTCTTCTCAGCCAACGCCATAGAAAACTTGCAAGAAACATACAGGAGCACCTGACAGTGGGATCAACAACAAAGCAAACGTTAAGGCCCCGTTTAGATTCCAAAAAATTTTACGCAGTATCCGTCACATCGAATCTTGCGGCACATGCATGGAGTACTAAATGTAGACGAAAAAAAAACTAATTGCACAGTTGGGTGAGAAATCGCGAGACGAAACTTTTAAACTTAATTAGTCCATAATTAGACAATTTTTTGCCAAATACAAACCAAAGTGCTACAGTAGTCAAAAGCCAAAAATTTTCGCATCTAAACAGGGCCTAAAGAAAGGTATCTTCTCTGTTTCCTCCTCTGCTTCTGTCAGCAGTTCACAGGCACTCCATCGTGTGAGACGGTGACAGTGACGCCACCGGGAAGCGATTTGATAGCGTCCATCCAAAATTCCAAACCGAACCCGCGGAAGTAGCAGTCCCCTGACCTTTTTTGCGCGTGCTCCGGGACCCTTTTTGCGCGATTTTCTGAGGGAAAGTGCCCCCACGAAACGCCCGTCCGTTTCTGCGCTGATCTCAGACTCAGAGGCCGCGCTTCCCAGCGGACGTCGCTCGGTCGCTGCGACGCAACCACGCAAGCGTAGCCGAGCCAAAGGAGTAACGAGGCACGAAATCCAGTGCAATACACATCATCGTGCAACGCATGCGTCAATGCGTGCGTGTATGTCGGGGCGTGTGACAGTTAACGCCAGAAACCTCCTGCTGAAGCTTTTTCTCTGCAGGCTCCGAAGATGGAATTGGAGGGCGCCTAGACGGCGAAGGAGATGTGTGCCCTGTTCGTTTATGTTGAATTGACCTATAAGCCATGGCTGAAGGTACTGTTGGCCGGTTTGGTGTGAGAGAAAAATAATATTTGTTAGCTGATAAACTATGGCTTACAAGCTAAATACGACCAAACGAACAGGCTGGTCATCGACCGGAGTGAAAAGGCAAAGGTGGAGGCAGGCAGAGCCTTGCCGTGCATCATCGGTATGTGGTGGCCGGTTGTTTTTGTGTGCGGGGGGCACTGTCCTTTTTTGGTTTGATGAAGTGTGTTGGTTCAGGTCTCTTCTTGGTGTGTCAAACAGCTGAAGTGGATCTTTTTGACTTTTGTGTAGGAAGCAGCTAACTAAACTAACATTTTGTTGTGGCCAAATGTTTGATGCAAGTACATGGACAGCTCGTTCGTCTTTCTGCCCCTCTGCATCGCTCATCCAGCGAAGGGATTTGGATGCAGCTCGTACACGGCTGCACTTGCGAAACGAAGCACGAGTGCTCTCTCGCTACATGCTCATAGGTGCGGTACTGCTGTAGCACGAATGATGTGCATGTGGGTACAAACTAAGGGCGGTCATTAGTGACGAAACATGCCAAATTGGGTTGCTTCCGTGCTTGTGATTAACAGCCTCCTTTTGTTGATTTTCGATCGGCAGAACTTCTCCGTTTTTTTTACATTCATTCAAAAGCGAAAAGTTTCGAGGACCTGCTCCGTCTAAGTCGGGCAAGCAAACGGAAGCGATGGCGATGTGCGTGCACATGCTGCGTCGTCGTCCCGGACGAAAAGAAAAGCTTGCATGCGAGGGTTTCCTATAGCTAATTTGCCGCTGGGCGCTGGCTGCTGTGCTTATTACCTTACGTACGTCTTTACCTAGACGGGAGCTACTAGCTGTCAGCCCCTTGTGACCTACCTACCGTCTACCGGTGAATCTACTTAGTGCGTGATTCCGGTGCCCCTGCTGTGCTGAGATATGCAGTGGTGCTCCTCCGGCCAAATCTTTCAGTAGCGTTTGCGCTTGCGTTCCGGCCGGACCGCGCCATGGAGGAGCGCTCTCTTGCTTTCGAGATTGAATCGGCAGGAGAAGAGTGCTTCAAGGGCAAGAAAGGCGGGTTCAGAGCCCTCCCCTTCATCTTCTGTGAGTTCCCATCCTCTTCTGAAACTGACTATTGGTCATCGTCCTTAATTTGCTCTCTTTTTTTGTCGTCATTTTGTTCTCTACTACAAGCTTTTGCTTGCCGGTTATGCGGAATCTTCAAGTAGTTCATCTCTTCTTAATTCTCATTGGCTTTTGTGATCGAAAAATTCTCACTCGCCTAGCTTGCCTTCGATTTTTATGGATAATTCTTTGTGTTTTGGATGCCGCCTAGCAAATGAGATGCTGGAGAAAGTAGCTGGATTCGGGCTCAACACCAACATGATCACGTACCTGACCGACAAGTACCACCTCAGCACCGTCACCTCCCAAACGATGCTGTTCGTGTGGGGCGCCATCTCCAACTTCGCGCCCATCCCTGGCGCCATCGTCGCCGACATGTACCTCGGCCGGTTCATGGCCGTCGGGCTAGGCTCCGTCGCGTGCCTGATTGTAAGTGCACCGAGATCAGAGAGGCTCACTGCCCGTCTGTCTTTTTCTCTCCGCTAGCTGCCAGAAGGTAATTAACTCCTTGGAACGATTGCTTCCGTTGCTGCATTCTGTTCACAGGGGATGGTCTTCCTATGGCTGACCGCCACGGTCCCTGGAGCGCGTCCGCCTGAGTGCAACAGCGGCGACCAGTGCGCGCCGCCGGGGACGCGGCACCTCGCGTGGCTACTCGCCGGCTTCGCATTCCTGTCCCTCGGCGCCGGCGGCGTCCGGCCGTGCTCGATGGCGTTCGGAGCGGACCAGTTCTCGAGGCACCCCAAGCAGCGTCGGCTCAGGATCCTGCAGGCCTACTTCAACGCCTACTACGCGTCCATCGGCGTGGCGTTCACGGTCGCCGTCACGGCCATCGTCTACCTGCAGGACAACGTCAGCTGGAACGTCGGGTTCGCCGTCCCGATGGGCCTCATGCTGCTCTCCACGGTCAGCTTCTTCCTGGGATCGAGCCTTTACATCAAGGAGAAGGGCAAGAGGCAGATGTTCGCCGGGATAGGCTCCGCCGTCAGCGCGGCGATCAGGAACCGCAGGGCGCGGCTGCCGGACAAGACCGTCGATGGCGTGTACCATCACCTCAAGGACTGCAAGCTCGCTGTCCCCACGGACAAGCTGAGGTACGTCACTCTCTCACGTGTCACGTCACGTCCCAACATGCAGCAGGCAGAAAAGCAGCGTTTCAACTTTCAGGGATGCGTGGTCTGACGAACACGTTGGCGTTTGAGTTCAGGTTCTTGAACAAGGCGTGCTTGCTCCGTGGCACCAAGGAGGACGCGCTCTGCAACGGCTCGGACGCGGCGGCCTCCGAGCGGCACGGCCACGACGGGAAGAGGCCCTGCACGGTGGACCAGGTGGAGCAGCTCAAGTCGGCGATCCGCGTCCTGCCGATCTGGTCTTCCACCATCTTCCTCGCCCTGGCCTTGAACCAGAGCTTCGCCGTGAAGCAGGCCGATACTATGGACCGCAGCGTCGGCGCGGGCCGGTTCCGCGTTCCCAGCGGCTCCCTGGCTGTCTTCAACATGGCCACCATGTCGCTGTGGTCGGCCAGCTACGACAGGTGGGTCGAGCCGGCACTGCAGCGCTACACGGGCAACCAGCGCGGGCTCACCATGAAGCAGCGCATCGGTGGGGGCCTGCTCCTCGCCACCGCGTCGACGGCTGTCTCCGCGGTAGTGGAGGGCGTGCGGCGGCGGCGGGCGCTGCGCGGGGTCACCATCTCGGCGTTCTGGCTGGTGCCGCAGTTCGCGCTTGCGGGGCTCGCCGAGGCGTTCGGCATCATCGGGGAGATCGAGTTCTTCTACACCGAGCTGCCCAAGAGCATGGCCAGCTTCAGCATGTCGCTGCTGTACATGGCCTTCGGAGTGGGCAACCTGGCCGGCGCCCTCATCGTGAAGGCGGTCCAGGTGGCGAGCAGGCGAGGGGGAAGAACGGGCTGGCTCGTCGACAACTTGAACGTCGGGCACTACGACTACTACTACTGGCTGCTCACGGGCTACGGCGTGGCGAACTTCGTGTACTTCGCTTGGTGCTGCTGGGTGTATGGCGAGGAGGGGAAGAACGTGGAGTGGGAAGAGGACGACAACACGGAGCAGCCCTAGTCCTGTACTGAATACTGAAGCCCGAGTTGGGACTTGGGACGCTTGTGTTACTGTGAGAACCTTGTAGGGCTGAACAATGAACTTCTGGAAGTTGAATGTCCAATATGTGGTAGTATAAAACATCTAGTTAACTTTACTAGTAGCTTATTAGTTACCATTGTCTAGGTTTGTCAGGGTCACCAGCAGTTTTAGACTTCCTACAAGTCGATGCATAACTTCATACTGCACAGTGACTCGAAACTTTTCTGATAAGGAAAGAAATGTGTGTGCAATGTAACTCAGGCCGTTTCGAAATTTATTCTTCCATGCATGATAACGAAAGCACTTATTTGCTAGTCACTATAATGAGACTGACTTACTAAACTTCAAGCAGGAAATAAAATAAATATATCTATACGCATGACTAAGCTCCTAATAATTTCTTCAGCTCCTTCTTGTTAACCTGAAATAAGCAACGGTTAAGTCAATCACAAGCACAATACGAGGGTATTTTCAAGGAGATCATATCATCACCTTTCCCATGGCATTCCGAGGAAGAGAATCCCACAAGTAAAGTTTTGTTGGAATCTGGCATCCACAGAAAAAAGAACCAATACCATTGTCAAATGATACCGTAGAGTATTTAAACTCAGGAGTCTGGACTGGCATGAAGGCTAACAAGATCAGACCTAGATAGCTATGTAAATGCAGGTCTATTAAGGTCATAAATGTCGTAAATGATTTATGAACATTTTTGTTACTAACTTACTATAATAGTTATTACTGACACTTTCTGTTACCAAATTGAAAATTTTATAATGCAGGCAACACTGCAACAGAAAGTACTTGGGCGAAAGCCAAACAATCAAAGGAAAAACATTTATGAAAGACCAACTGTAAAAGGCAGCTAGGGAAAAGGCGAAATAATGCCAATAGCAAACCTTGTATGGAGCAAGCTTATCTTTCGACCAACTTGTCAATGCTTCCAAGGTTAGCACTGGCTTTGAGTCCTGCTCGGCCGTTTTCTTTGCATCCTCCTTAGGCACAATTATTGCACATATAACCTCCCCATAGGCTTCATCAGGCAAGCCAAGGACAGCGCATTCCAGTACAGCATCATGCTGAAGACAAAAACAGACGGGATTGGGTAACATGAGTAGGAAAGGGAGTTATTTGACTGTTGTGCAAAGCCTTCAGTAAACCTTTCAGCCTAATATATCTACCTGTTAGTCTAAATTTGAGGACAAAGTGAGCTGATTTTGTAGGTGCGTTGACTTTGTTAATATCATGTACTGACTACAGTTCAAAAGTAGTTTCCAGTGTATCCAAATTTACCTCTAACAGTACTGCCTCAATTTCTAAAGCTGACAACTTGTAACCGCCAAATTTCATAATGTCTGCATTTGTGCCTGCACAAGGTAGTGCAAATGAGGCTACAAGCAATCCAAAGCTCTGACCCCAGGCAGAGGGTGTGTTTGGATGAGAGCATGGGATTTTTGCCTGGCCCAGGCAAGGTCATGCGTCTGATTTGCTATGCCTGTGGCCAGGATGCTTTGCCTGGCAGGCGGCTGCCAGCCAGGTCGTCATCCAAACACACCCTTAACACCATGAGGTAATGAAAACAGCAACTAGAAAGACGCAAGTGTGCGTGTGCATAAAGTGTTACTTACGTCCCAAAATTATGAAGTATCCTTCCTCATCTACAGTTACTGTATCACCTGTCTTGAAGAATCCACCATCAATGAAGGATTCTGCTGTGACCTGCAAACAGAAATTCACCATTTTCAATGATGAAATAATGTATATTAACTTCTCAGCAGGCGTCCTTTACTGGTTCCTATATGACTGAAATACCTAGTAAATTTGACATTTGAGTAGTACAGCTTAGCAGAAATGTCAATGCCAGCAATCTTAAAAATACAAAGTATTAAAAAACAATACATGGTATTGCATCAAAATGAAAAGATGTATGGTTTACAGCTGTAGTTAGTAAGGAGTAGGACCTTCCTAAAGGAAATGGAATGTTCCCTCCAAAACTGTACAACATGATCATCAATTGGCAAAAGCAGAAACAGCAGAATCATACCTCTGGTCTTTTCCAATACTCCTTGAAAAGGGATGGACTTCTAATGCAGAGCTCACCAACTCCAGCTGTAGTTTCAGTCCCATCCTCCATAATAATCTTGGCCTGAGTCAGAAAGATGCTTTAAAGCTATGAAGCAATGCAGAATACACAGAACAACTAATGCTTTAATGATACTTCTAACTCCCATGAATTGTTCATCATACCTCAACGCGTGGAAGGGGTTTACCAACTGTACCTTCTTTTCGGATACCATGCAATGGATTAGACAGCGCCATGACAAACTGTAACCAATATTAAGTCTATCAGAAATCATGTAGTTAATTAGTGTATTGACTAGATGGGGAAGAGTTAATATTTTTTTACCTCAGTCATACCATAGCGTTCCAAAAGACGGTGGCCTGTCACTTCCTCCCACCTCTTCATAAGTGGGGATGGAAGAGCTGATGATCCACACATCTGCAGTGATTCAATGAGTATTAATGATAAAATCTTTATAATTCATGCATCAGTTCCATGATAGAGCTGAAAAAGGTCTACAGGAAAACTCACTAAGAATACAGCTGTAAGAGTCAAACACAAACCAGGAAATCACACTTCGATACACAGCAAGTGAAAAATGAAGAATATATAAAGGAAAGAAGTATATCTTAGCTCTCCCTCGCACACACTCGGTGTCAGAGAGATAATTAAGACACATTGAGGACCTCTTGGTCATTGAACGGAGTGTAGCATAAATCCCGAGGTCCCTAATTAGGTAGTTATGCAGTTGATTGAACAAGCATAGCCACAATGCCTGTTGGACTTCACAGAACCAATAGCAGAATCCAAGAGTCCATGCCCATGGATATTTCCTTAAACCATGTATCATAAATTTGAATACTTTCAAGTACTTTTGTACATAGCATGTAGCTGTGAGGATTTCAGGAACGAAGGGAGCTAGAGAAAGACTTAAACACTGCTTCCAATGAACATGAAGAACTTACCATTAACCTCAGATGCTTTGCAGCATAAGAAGAGGCCAGCTGTTGATCAGGATCCATACTATCATACCCTTGCAGCAGACGTGTATACATGGTTGGAACCTGCCATAAAAGAAGTATCAAATTACCTTAACGTATCAAACAATATGAAGACAGATAGTAGTTTGGAATAATCTGAAGATAGACTGTTATGCTATGACAGCGAATCATACTCCAGTAAATACTGTAATGGCCTCTTTATTTTTACTACCATCGTTGGGATATGATTCTCGCCATCTCTGCCATATCCCGCTTACACTGAATTTTGGTATAAACTCAACCTGCGATCACAAAGAATATACGTTACCATGGAAGAAACTTTGTAGATGTGCTGCTGAAACAAGCTTCATTGTTCACATCTCCTAAATCAAAAATGCAAATGGATCTATTATGTCCGCAAAAGAGAACTCCAAAACTCCAATAGCTATAGAAGACCAGTTCACCTAAACTAAGCCACAATTGGCATGTTTGGGACCGCGTTGGCGGCAAAGACAAGCAAAGAATCATGTCAAACGCCCCGCGATGCAGACGATTCTCTCGACTGCACATGGCACCAGGACTGCGAGAATCGACTGCATACGGCACCGGGACCACGAAAATGAACTAGCTCCTGCGTTCCCGTGCCGCGGGTCGGCGGCTGTGGTACACCGTGCGGTCTGCAACTGTGGTCCCAAACACACCCAATATCTTTTGACCAAACAGCATTTTTCTCCTAAATTGAGCATTTAGAGATAAATAGGGACAGAAATTACCACTGATCCTGAATAAAGGGGCGCAAATAGAGCATTGAAAAGGCCATGCACATGTACACTTGAAAGTTAAGGACTTCAACAATAATGACAAACAAATGGATCCCCCCGAACATAATCATAATAAGGGACACTCACTGTTCAAAATAAAAAATGCAATGTGGTCCTAGTTCTACTCCTAGCTACCATCCTATTACATAGTTTTCAATTTTGTTTTCTAATTGAAGGGACTGGTGCAAGTATTTGGTGCTTCAAACCAGAAGGAGCATGACAACTAAAAACAAGTGAAAGAAGAGTAAAGAACTAATGGTACCAAACATTTTCCTAAGAGAGAAGACAAGATAGCATGTAGTACAACTGCACTTAAAACCACTCTATGCCCAGTATGTCAAGAATCAGGATCCATGTGGAGCTGGCCCATGCATCCATAGCAAGCAGCTTACACTTCCTTCCTCCACTTCAAGTAGAAACATTTCATGGAAGTGCTATGTTGGGAATGTATGGGTTTATGTACTGTACTGTTCTAACCTATCTCAACTTTTCATGCAGGACTACTGCCAAAACATTGATATACCTAGACAGCTACTAATCTGTGTTGCTGAACATTGAATACTGCAATCACAATAAGGTGTGGGCTTGGAAAAAAAAAGCAATACGAAATATCAGCGTATGAATAGTGCTAAAAACTTAAATAGCAACAGCATTCATTGTGGATATGATGCAGCGGGAGACAGTGCAGAAATTGGTCTTCACTTCGATATCCCCACGCTTCTGATAGAATTTGAACCTGCCAAATCAGTGAGGATAAATGTTACGTATATTACATCATCTATCATGCCATCTAAAACGATCATATAGGAAATAAAAAACAAGTCACACAAACCATGGAAATGTGGCAAAAATACAGAAATAGAATCAACAATATAAAAAAATATTGCCTTCTTGCTTCTGTACATTGTTCAACAGTTTATAGAACCATTTATATATCTATTTAAAGATGAAAACGCACCTGAGAAAGTATCCCCTTGTGGGTGTGAACTACTCCTTTTGGTTTACCAGTTGTGCCACTTGTGTAAAGGATAAGAGCAGGGTCATCACCTGTATAATCAAACTCCAGAAAATAGAGGTTAGTAGGAGCAAGCAAAAAAAAAAATTTGGAATAATTAG